AGGGAGAAGACATATCCATGAGTGCTTTTAATTTATCAGAATTAGCTTTAATGCCTTCAAGCATCAAGAGGTGTCCTAAGAATTCCTAGTTGGAGCTCCAAACGTGCATTTTAGCAGACTTAATTTCATATTATACTTCCCAAGAGTCTGGAGTGTTTCTCTTAAAACATTTATACATTGTTCGGCCGACCTACGTCTTATTAGTACACCATCAACATAGACCTCAATATATCTTCATTTTTTAGAAAAAAATTATATTCATAAGACTTTGGTAAGTAACGCATGTATTTTTTAACCCAAAGAGCATTAAAGTAAAATAAAATAATTCTTTACTAGTAATAAAAGCCATATTCTGAGTATTGGTTGGATGCTTCTTGATCAGGTGGTATCTGAAGAAAAAATCTAGGAAACTTATGATAGAATGTCTGACCACAAGTGATTTGAAACTTGGTGGTGGATAGTCTTCCTTGGGGCAAGCCGCATTCAAATTTGTGTAGCCTGCGCACATCCATCATTTGTCATTGGACTGCACCATATCTACATTAGATACCTAGAAGGGTTATTGATCCTCCCATATGTAGCTTTCCTCTAAGAGCTTTTGTACCTCCTCACGAATTGGTCCAACCAAAGACATCACTGACGAGTTAATCTTCTGCTTCATAGAGCATTTGACAGATGGATTGACATTGAAGCGGTGACAAACCATGTCAATGGGGATGCCTGACATCTCCAAGAATGACCAAGCAAAAACATTTCAGTACTCTTGGAGAATCTGGATCAAGAAGTTTTGTGACATGTATTGAAAGTTTCATTGATTATAAAAACTTTACCAAGATCTTCAGAGTCAACGAGAATCTTGAAAGTGGCCTCGTTGGTTTCAAGGCCTTCTTTCATTGGTGTTGTATATCCAGTGCTTAGTGATCCATGCTTCCCACCACCCAAATAACATGTATGATACTGCTTCAGATTTCTATGCATGGTAATAATCTCTCTGTCAAAAGAAAATTTCACCGCTACATGATTTGTAGACGCAATAATCTAGCAATTGTTAAGTGGGCGACCAAAGATTGCATTGAAAGTTAGTGGCACGTCAACCATTAAGAAATTCTTGATATTAATGAACATGTTACTGTCCTCTCCCCAAGTGACAGACAATGAAATCATGCCAAACACCTCCTTTCTATTAAGATAGAACCCCTTTAGTGGTCAGTCAGTGCAGTTAAACAGTTGATCATCAAGTTCATTTTATTAAATGCTGCCTTGAAGATAATGTTCCCTGAGCTACCTATGTTAGCCAAAGTAATACTATCCTGATAGTTGTTAACTAGCTAAATGATGATGATGACATCTTTATAAGGATTTTCAATAGAAGGAAGATCAAAATTGGTGAAAATGATCAAGGAAGGAGCTTCCTTATAGGAATGGAAGTCAAAAAGTAATACTTCCTTGACTAGCTCCTCTTTTTTTTCAAGTCTTCTGATCGAATCACTTCCTATTATTTTTGGTATTATCTTTGCTGCATGAATAACATTGGCTCAGACAGGTCCATTGGAATCGTCTTCTACATATGCCTAGCATTCCCACCGAGTATGTGAATTTGAGGCCATAAACTCCTTGAGCTTCCCAACTTGTATTAATTCTTCAACCAAGCTACAAAGATGCCTCTACTCCTCTGTATCATGGTCATACTTTCTGTGTTACTTCCAATATTTATTGGTATTTTGGAGATGGACTTATGTTCTCATCAGTGGAGTCTTCCGGAAATACTCATCTTGGATAGCTTCCACTAGCTTTGCCATTGAAACCCTTCGTTGAGTGGGTCTTGACGCCCCCACTCCCCCCCCAATCATCAGTTGAGTGATCATTTGATCAGCTTCGATTTCATGAATTTTGGTCAGAATTCCTGTTTCGACCTACCGACCGACCTCTTTCACGTTTGGGATGAGGTCCATCTTTCTTCCTCCACCCATCGTACCAAGAACCTTTTTTGTTCGATCAACGTTCAAACTTCTATCCATTTGAGACAAGGAGATTCATATACTCCTCTACCGCGATGTGTTTTTTTGGCTAACTCTAAGAGTTCAACCAAATTATCGGGTTTTCACAACCAGAAAAATATCTAGAAGAGACAATCTTAACCCCTTGTGCTAGAGAAAATTTAGCGATTGCCTGCTCTAGGTTCCTCATCTCTCGCTTGTCATTCTGGAACTGTGTAACGTATGCCTAAGGGATCTCATTTGGTCTCTGCACTACAAACCACAAGAATTTTGAATCCTTGCAGGGTTTCTAGGTGCTAGCATACTGTGTTGTAAAAAGCTTCTTGAACTCTCCGAAAGAATTCATAATCCCAACAAGAAGTCAACCAAACCATTTGAGAGTCAAATCTCTCAAGGTGGTGTAGAACGATCGGAATTTAAATATGTCAGATTACTTGAAAAGGCAGATGACCATCTCAAAGGATGCAATATGGTCGGCCCGATCGCTCCGACCTTTGTATGGTTCCAGGGAGGGAACATTGAACTTTTCTAGGGGTTCAGGTTCAACGATGTGTTGGGAGAACGCATTCTCCAATCGGCAGTAAACTTTGATATTTCCCTCTTGTGGTTCCATTAGTACTGCTTGCAGTATGCTTCTCCGCACAGATCCAACATTATCTTAGTTCTTGGATTTTCCAACTGTTCGGCTCCTTGAGCTGCCAGTTGGCCATGAAGTTCGGTTACTGGAGGATTAGGCTCTGGGAGAGGCTATGCTTTCTCCTGAAGTACCACTCGAGCTTGTTTCGCAATAAGACCCGTTATTTGATCATATAGCTCTTGAATTCATTCTTGCACAAATTCCCCGACGGACTCCATGCTAGAAGTTCCTCCTATGTGCGTTCATTCTCCGTTACGTACTCTTCTTCTTGTTGAAGGCATGACTTCACGCTCGCCGCACATTTTAGGATGCTAAATCCCAAAATATCCTTTAAGTTGCGCCCAAGGAATAGAGTAATGGATGGATGAGATTAATAGAAAAAAGAGCGGAGTGGAGAAAGGAAAGCACAAACAAAACAAATTCTCTGGAAATATATTCAGACCATCCTATTTATAAATCATAGGAAGGGTCTAGTGAATTACATGATTAATCCTAAATTTAATGGGAACATTGGAATACATTTATGAACCATTATGTTTTTATATATTTGTAACTAAATTTGGCATCATTTGACCCTGGTAGCCGTCGTTCGCGCTGTTTCAAATCTTTAATTGTCTCTAGTGCCATTTCACATTCATAACTACTCGGTCAGGTCGTTTGACATTCTCTCATGGGCTATGATCATTCAACCAATTGACATATGTTTGGCCAATTTCCGAGGCGGTCCCTTGTAAAGACCAATTGTCCTTATGAAGGGTTATTCTATTAGGGAGAGGGCGCATCACCATAATCTGATAGACAACATTTCTTCGAGTGATGAATCTTCGTAGAGGGTCAAACGAGGGTTCCATTAAGCGACCATATAATTCTCTTTTAAATATTCAAAATTTGCTTCAATTAAAACAAGAAATAAAAGGGATATCAAATAGGATTTGATTTCCTGAAAGCTAATGTTATTTAATTTTTTATTTTTATTTTTTGCATTATTTTTAATATTCTATTTATTTAGTTTATATAAGTATTTTAATATATTTTTTTTATATTTTCAAAAATAAATTTGTTCTGTATCCGTGCCCCCGTGTCGGCATTCTTGCAACATTGATAAATTCCCATTTTATTTTACTTTTATTTTTAAAATTATGATTATTTAATGCATTTTTTCACATAGTTTATTTAAATTTAAGAAACAAATAAATTTATTTTTAAAACCACTCAAAATAATATTTATACATGATTAGAGTTTTAAAAATAACAAATCTTACTGCAGGCTGACCACCATCTACCGTATCCTCCGTCCAAAATGTAATACTCAATAATATATATATAAAATATATTCTATTTAAAATAAGAAGAAAATAAAAGAAAATAAAAATGACTCCACATGGTCCCCAAATGTATTGATTCCAAACCATAATATGGTTTAGAGTTGCCAAAGGCAGACGACTCTGTTGTTGGCGTACAAATGCCCGCATGAAACTGAGATGTATTATAGAGGATAGGAATATATTAGAGCAAGTTGATATTTAGCTTTATTCAATAAGAAAAAAAAATACTGATTTACTATTGAATTGATTTGGTTGAAGATTTCTTAATATTAAGCTCATCATCAACCCAACAACTAGAAATAAGAACTTTGGCGTTGATTTCATAAGTAACATTAGGGTGTTAGACATGTAAGCACATATGAATTGGGTTGTAATTTTCGAGAGATTTACATACATACCACACAATTATTATATATTTATATATCTACCACCAGAAGTTTGACATTTACACTTACAGTATATTGGTATAATGATATGATATTTCTGATGTGATATTATGCATATAAATATGAATAATTAGGTGTTAAATGTATAAAGACGTAAGAATTAAGAGGTTTGCATTTTAACGCCACTAAATTCTTTTATCCTAAAAGATTACCAAATCAATTTAGGCATACAGAATGATACAAATCAAGATGTGGCCTTTATGGCAGAGGCTTCAAACTCCAGCTTTTTTATGAAACTGGGAAAGTAGACGAAGGAAACAAAAAGGTATCCATGATCCGGCGAAACTCAAAGTGAGGCCACACTTCACCAAATCAAATTCATTCATCATTATGTCTGAATTATTATATGGAAGATTTATTTACATACCACAAAATTCCTAAATATTTACATATCTAATAATACATAAACATCAATTTTTACATACTATCACCTTACCGACACATGCAAAGCTGTATTTAACTTTTTAGAAGTTAAAATGGTGATATTTTTAATGTAATAGACTCATAGTACCATATTTATAAGAATTTGGCAAAGTAATAATAATTCATAAATTTCATCAAAACTTGTGAATCAAAATATAAGATGAAACAAGTTTCATAAATACATAAATATTTAATCCTAACCTTTTCGAGCCTGATAATATCCCACGAGCAGAGCTTGATTTATATAAGCAGCATAATGAAAGGCGAATAGTGCCTCAAATCAAGATGCCACCTTTACATACATGCTTCCCAACTTCACAACTACCAATCCTTCTAATTCAAAGCAGGAAGCAACAGCAGCAAAAAACTCAGCCTTCGTACTGCCAATTGCCTCAACAAAACGTGGCTGCAGCACTTAAAATTCCATAAAAACCTCTTTTTTTGCCCCCCATAAGTCTCTCAATATAGTTTGTTAAATCCAGACATCAGAGTAGTTTCGCCCAAAATAGGGAAGAAGGCCTCCCGTTCCAGCAGCATCTGCAGGCTGCTCATCATCCTCATCAACTGCATCCACACTACAGGAGCGCAGCAGAAGGAATACGCGAAAACAGCCAACGCCCTCACAACACCATCAGAGTACCAAGGATAAGCCATCACCCCGAGAGCTCCCAATATCGCAAGCCATGGCGTTAAGACTGAGAGCGGCGAGAGAAGAAATGAGTTGATCGCAATGGAAGCCAGAGCGGCGACACCGAGCATGTAAACCGACCAACCGAGAACAGGGTGAACCGTTCTCGGGATGAGAAAGAAGGGTACAGTGTATGTAGCTAGTAAGGACCATGCAACTGCCGCCTTGAGTATGGAGTGGAGGAAGACAACGCTCTTCTCTGGCCTTCGATTATAGCAAAGCTTCGACAGATTCGGACGGGCTAACCGTGTCACGGCGATGATCCCAAGGTATACTGCAGCTTGGATGAGCAAGACAGGAAGCTCTGTGCTGTACCTGATTGTTTACAATGGGAACAATGAGGAATTTATTAGGGTTTGGTGCAGAAAAGATAACCGGATTTCGTTATGATGAAGAGACGCATCGTACCCGACGTTCTCCCGCCGCTGCTCGTGCCAGGAAAGCCCCAAAGGTAGGACTGGCCAAGACCACCAATACCAAGGTTTGAGCCATGGTGCGCTGGGAAATGTTATAACGCTGTTAGGTCCACATGGAATGCTCCAACGCAGCTTGAGATCTGCAACATAATTTAACAGTTTCATATGAGCAAAGCTGTCGAGAAAATAAGCAAAACAAAAAAAAAAATCACAAACGATGTTGTAGTATTCATCTAAAGACCAGTTTGTTCTCTGAATACTTTTGAAAGGCATTGGTTGTATTGAAATTTGTCTTTTTTTTAAGCATTCCTCTATCATGATAATGGAAAAAAAGGGTTTCAGATCAGATTTGAGATAATACTTCTTTGAAACATTGCAGAACAATAACAGAGTAAAAGGAAGAGTTAAAGGGGGAAGTCAAGCTTACAGTAATAGGAAGCATCCATCTGATATCCCAAAGGAAGACGATAGGTTCCATCAAGCTTTGTACCATTGACAGGTGGATGGAACATAGGCTTGTCAAGCAGATCTGGGAAGTAACTGGCAAGGAAACCCTGGTCTGCACCGTCTGGATTGCTCCGCACTACTTCTAACTCATGAAGCATGTCCTTAAAAACCTCCAGAGAAGGCTGTGGTTCCGAAATGAATAATAGAGTCAGAATCGTCACAAAATATCGGAGATCAAGTATAAAAAATGATGAACTATAGCAAAAGTTTTGCATATAAACTATAAGGAAAACATAGAAAGAACGCATAAACAAGCATAGGTAAAGTTAAATGTCCATATGCTTGACCATGCGGAACTATAGAAACTTGACACTTTAGACCTGCAAGCATCAAATTGCAGACATATTAAGAATTCATGAATACTGAATCTGATCATCCCTAAGAGGCTAAGACTACCACTTGTCTAAGAAGAAATTTCAATAAAAAAACATTAGAAACTAGGAAAGTGCTGTTATCCATATTGTTGAAACTAGAAATCCGAATATTCATTCAGGGCAAAGAATGTTATTTTGCCCTAATATAGCCAATTTAGACGAGCACCAACATTTATAAATAAGTACTTCAAAATATATTCTAATTTTAATGAATTGCAAGGACAAAATTGCTTCAGAGAGCTTTCCACGTAGTGCAATACTTAGCACGTCAGGTCTCTGTAGGTGACAACTTCTGTTCAATGTATCTCATCAAGCACACCACAAAAAATTCAACCAGGTTGCATTTTTCCTCTTAAATAATCTCTTGTTTTGAAAAACCAATTTCCAACTTAAGTTCAAACCTAAACTGTTGACTGTTTCACTACCGAATTGCATGCATACAGCATTTTTTCTCATGTAGTTCCATTGAATTGTTGTTCTGATGCAACTAAATCATTCAATCCACCAAAACTAGTAAAAATCCGAATATGTTCTCACGTGAAGAAGTTCAATATTGAATATAGGCCATTCTCTTTCTTCTTCTTCCTTAATCTAGACAAAGCAATTTACATGCCAAAAATATTTAGTAATATTCCTTCTCACCCAAAAAAAGTTCATCTTTGATTTACAAAATAGCTACAACATGAAAATAGGAATCTTTATTTTGCCTGCATTATCAAAAAGTATTTCCTATCAATGACTAGGAAAGAGAAACTTAGAAGACACATAATAATTAACTTTCACAACAAATTTCATGATGAATTAAACTAAGTTAACTCACCATATTGATTCAAAGGGTTGATATACAAGTTTCCCTGGTTTAACTTAGAACAAAAAACTTAATGGTAAAATTATGATATGCTTGCAGTGCAATACCCTTTTTGATGACAGGATAGGGAAAGCCAAACTCGGTAAAGTATGATATAAGCAATTGAAGAAGTAGGATGATGGCCAAACAGCAAGATGAAGCCAACAGATAACCGGTCCAGGCAACCACAAGCATAAAATTCTCCAAATAAACCAAAGAGAAATTTATGCACACAATTCTTATATAGTTACATATCTCACACCTAAACTTACATATTAACATGCATAGCACCTTGTTTCTGTAAACCTATGCATGGAAATGTGTATTCCACTTTTAAAAAGTGGTAATAGTTCTATTTTTTGTGATATTAAAGATTTGAGTGAAAGATTTGAGTGATATATGTGTAAAAATGAAAGTTTAGGTGTGAGATATGTAAATACAAAAGAACTGTGTGCCATGTATGCTTAAACATAACGTAGTGACTTCTTTTCATGCTATAAAATTTGAGATTTTTATATGTAAATATATAACAAATAAGAAAGTGGACCCACTAAAAAAAAAAAAAAACTTATCTCACATATGTTTAATAAAGAATGAATACTGAAGACCAACCTGGAGGACAAAGAGACCAGTGTGGAATATACACGGATTGATGAAGACAGCACAAAACTGACCACACTGGAAAAGCTCATCAGTTTTTTGAAGGAATAAATTATCAGAATCCAACATAACAACTCGGTCATAATCTACTAAACTCCATGCATAAAGCTTATTTAGCGTTAGTTTGAATCGAACATTAAAGTTCTTCTGCTGCTCATATGGATTCTTTAAGTTCTCTACTGCTACCACTTTCACCCCATCCTTCTTCCTGTTAACATAAACAATAATGTCAGTCTACCAAACAAATTTCTTCACCACCAAGGACATAAATCATCACATATGATCCCATAAGACTTCAACATATACTGAAAAAAAAACAAAGGTCGACAATGTAATTAAAACAAAAATTTATTCAAGTGTTAGAAATATCGCAATATCTAAACGGTAAAGCATTAAATTCCAAAGTATTTTCTTCAATGCTAACCAGGTCAGCCACAAGTTTTAACTCTCACACATTGATCAGGTCAATCCTAGCGAATTTAGATTTTCTTTTCATCCAAAAAAATTAAAATAAAAATGCATGGTGACTTCTAAAGACAACTTAACATTATAATGCAATAAAACTTAAATGCATAAGCTATTAATTTTATCTTATATATGCAAACAAACAAGACGAGTGCTACCTTAGTCCACCAAGTCATACTGAATAAGGAAAACGAAGATTCATCTGTCTCTAAGAAGCCTGGTTAGTTTAACTAGAGCAGTATAATCCTAATACATGTTTAATCACGCATCATAAAGCTTTAAGTAAACTAAACTTAAAGGCAAAAACAAGAAAAGCGAAAGTTACAAAGAAAAAAAAATCATCAAATTCTTGTCTTTTAGAACCTTATTGGATGAGTCGTAGTTTAAGCTGAAATTTCAAAGATTCCCAGTAGTTGCAAGTCAATAAAGTTATCAAGCTAGAGATTTCTTTCTGCTGTTCTAATAAATCGGAAAAAATTAATGTGAAAATTCCAAAATCTGCAAAAAGAAAAAAAGGGGATAATTATATAAAGAGCACAACAAACATTGCTTTTTACAAATCAAGCCCCTAGGTGATTTTTTTGCACAATGAAACCAATGCATTTACACGAGCCACGATCAAACTGTTGTGACTTCGATAAAAATGAGAAGCATGGGATGGGGTTTTATCATAACTATTGATATTTGAGAGAGAATTTGAATTGAAAAATGGAAAAATGGATGAAAGAGGATGCTTGATTTGTAAATAGCAATGTTTTGGGTGTACTGTATGTAATAGTCCCAAAAAAAATCTCAAATAGCGTTTTCTTTATCATTTCGGTCAAAGGAAAAGTGCTCAAGTAAAACTCTTTAGAAACAGGAAACAATTTTTAAAAAAAACAACGACGTTAACCACAAAATCGAGTAAAAGATTCGTCATCTTCCTTGAAATTACTCCTTTAAATCTAAATCTCAATAATCCACCCGAAAAAAGTAAACAGGAAGAAGACAAATTCATGAATAACCATTCCGCTTCAACCCGCCGGCTTAATCGCACGATATCAACACTCGATCGGACGCTGGCCTATATTTGCACTGTAAGAAAATAATCGAAGTAAATCCGAATTCACACTTTGAAGAGAAAAAATAAAATAAAATCCCGAACAAAACCGGCAAAACAAGAAAAAAAGAAGGGGGTAGGTAGCGCAGAGAATCCGAACTCTGGCTCCATTTAATCGGAAATCGACCGTAGTAATGACGACAGAACTGTCATCGGCCTTGAGCTTCGCGAGGAAACTCATCAGAGGTGCAGAAATCAATAAACAAGTATGGAAGAATTAACTGAAATTCCCAGGAAAAGTACCCCTTAGATAAAAAATAATCAAGAAAAAAAAATCTAAGAGGAAACATAAATTGCCTAAATAAGAGAAATCTTAACTATGAAGAAAAGATCTGTCTTCCTTCAAAATAACTCCCTAGATCTCCATAATCCATCGGAATGACAATTCAGAAATTAGACAATTAATCAATAACTATCCAGCTACAAGCATCAATCTAACCCGTACGATGCCAATCGCATTATCAGATTTCAGATTTAAATTGCAAAATAAACATCAGAATAGTCTCAATTGCACTGTTTCTTCCTGCTTTAAAAGAGAATAATCCCTAACATAATCAATGAAATACCTAGGTGAATAAAACAAAAACAGATGAAGAGAGGGATCGTAAACTCACAGAGTCTGAACCCATTCTATTGGCACATCAACGGAAGCAATGACGACAAGATCGGCATCGACCTTAAGCTTCACAAGTGATCTCATCATCACCCTGGTCGCTACATAAAACTCGTAGTCTCTCGGTGTGCCCATATACATCATCGCCGCATATGCGTTGCGTTTCCCTCCATCCACCCCAGGCGCCGCATCACCTTCCACGGCCGCCCAAGCTACCATCGCCATCAACAGCACCATCAGCGCCGGACCTGCATATCTCCGTCGTTCCTCCATCATCTTGAGCCCAATAAATCTGCTTTAAACCAGATCGGATCGCCCCTTTTGGATTCGGCCGGCGTGCATTGCCGGCTGAAGATCGAAGATTGGGTGGATGATGATTCGGGGACAAATACGATGGCTTTTTGACGAAGAAACAGAACGGCAAGGAGAAACAGAGGAGGAGGAGAGAAGAACGCACGCGACTTTTGTTAAGGGGCAACGTGGTGCGTGAGAAGTGCCCTAGAGGAGAATCTGCTTTGTCGCCGGTGAGAATTATAGGGAGTGAGGGCAAAAGGATGAAGAACCTGTAAAATAATATAAAATAAAACAAATTTCGAAAACGCGGTTAATAATATTAAAATCCGAAAATATCTAGTCCGGTTCGGTTCGGTTCGGCTCGGCGCGGTTGCGGCTGAGGATCGCGTCGTCGGATGATCAAGACGTGTTATGGGATTTGTAGGTGAGGCGCGGGCATTGGAACGGGGAAAATATTGCATGAAGATAAGTTAGAGTTATGTTTGGAGTTTAATGAAATGACGTAAGGTGGACATGATAGAAAATAAAAAAAAATATTATAATATACGAGAATATTCTTCTGTGTTATTCTGTATTATTTATGTGTTATTGTGTTCTGAGAATATTCCGGATGTTATAATAACACAATAACACATCAATATCACCACAATAATACATAAATAACCCGGAATAACACAGGAGAAATATTCTCCTGCATTATCGGGCTAGATCACAGGAAAACGCGTATATTTCCTTGAAGTCATGTGTCCACATATCAGTAGACTATGAACGTAGTTCTACGTTAGGAGTCATGATGTAATATTTTTTCCATGAAATGGAGCTTTGGGAATTTTGCAATTTGTTTCTATTATTTTTATATTATTTCAAAACAACATTTTATTTATTTATCTATTTATTATCGCAATTTTTTTTCGCCTTTCTTCACTCTCATTCTCTCCATAAATTCACTTGTACACATCTCTCTGCCATTTTCTCAAATCTAACGGCACACTTTGTCCCTTATTTTCTCTATCTTCCTAATATTTAAAATCTTGCATGACTTTTCATCTCTTATAGTTATGGTGAGAAGATGTGAAGAAGTTATCTCCTTTTCTTCTAATGCCTTAACCTTCAACAAATTAGGTTCAAGTATTCTATATATATATATTTTAAGTTCTTAATTAATTTATCTTTTAAGTATAATTGATGAAGCTACAATGATATAATAGTAAATGTATTTTTTATTTTTTTTAAATTAATTATGTATATTTCAAACAATAAATTTGTTGAAATGAATGAAGAGTAACAATATGGGTGCATGATTATTTTTGTATGGACAAGTGAGAGTTATAGAGGATTTTAGACCATCCAATGTGGGTGAAAAAATGATATTATACAAGCTAGAAGACTCCATATTATGAAATATGAAGTGAAGGGTGCTTCAAGCATTCAAAATATAACATTTCAATATTTTAGTTAATATGATTTATCATTATACTATCTAACACATTAATGATGGTGAGACATATGAAGTATTCTTAGATGATGCAAGCCAACATACATTCGTAGTATATGTACGAGTTTGGCAAATTCATTATGTTGTCTGCCCTAAAAAATGCATTATTTGTTAGACTAGTACAAATTTTGTAGATGATGTGATTGGTGTTTGCCTAAATATGATTAGCTCAACTTTAATCAAATGAGTTAAAGATCAAATGGAGTTCATGTTGAACCAAGGAGGGGGAAATTTACTTTGATTCCAAGTTTGGATCTACTCATCAACTAATCCTTCAAGGAAGTCATCTAAGAGAATTGTTAAGACAGGATCCTCTGAACAGGGGATATTATCAGTCTTAACATATATGAATATCATCAAATATGCTACAAAAAATTTTACAGGTTAATAAGTATAACTAATAATATAATTTACAGGTAAATTAATATATACAAAACTACAATCACAATTCACAAAATCATTTATAAGTAGTGTCCAAAATAATTATTTCAAGTTTATTTTTTTGTTCTATATTAAATTTTATCGAGTTCAATACAAACTAAAATATATAAAACACAATGTTTAGTTAAAAATTATTATTTTTATATCAATATGACCAACACAGTTTATTCTTAAACATACTAAATGTTATGTGATAAAAAAATGTATAAATCATTGTAGATTTGAGTTTGTTTAAGACTTAATAAAATATAATGCCCTCAATTTATAAAAGAAATTTCAATTTATTAGAATCAGACACATTTTTTAATCAGCCTCATGGATAAAATTAGTTAAATCCTTTAATTCCACTTTCTCTCTCTACAACCATCCCTTTTTTTCTTCCTTCCTATCTCTACAAAGCCTCACAGTTTGGAAAATAAAATAAGAAATATGACTTTGAGTGGGTGGGGAAAGATATTTATAAAAAAAATATGTTTTTTTTTTATATAAAAACGTCTAAATTTAATTTCAGGAATTATTATATATTTAATTATAAATATAAAAAAACTACTATATCTTCAAATATCGGATTAGCGCTACGAATGAACTGAGCGTTTGACAAACTACTCGTTACTCGACTCGATAAGAGCTCGTTCATATTCTTTTGATTAACTAATTACTTAAATTTAAATAATTTTATAAATGCTCCATTGTTAAATAAACAAACTTGAACACTTCCTTGTTCAATTCTTTTATGTTTGTTTAGGGTTTACATTTAACACTCGTGAGCAAACTTATTAAGAATCTTAATTAACATATTCATTTAAGGTTCATAAATAAGATTGATTTAATGCTTATGAATAAATTAAGTTATATGTTAATTTAACTTATGAAATAGCTCAAATAAAGCTTAATTTAAAACTTATTTAATTAAGTTAAATTAAATTTTAGGTTGTAGTACATAAAACAAGATGAAGTCTTTTTTGTTTAGTTGTTGATTTCTTTTACGCATTTATATGCTTATTTTAGTTATTCATTTAATAAATCATTCATTTAAAAGCTCATTTATTTTTATAAGTTTGAAAAATAACTCTTTTATAAACTCAATAAAACTCGTTTGATTAGCAAATAAATAGCAATCATACTTGTATCCACCAAAACTGCTGACATGAATTTCAAAGCAATCTAGCAGCTTAGGACGATGACTGGACAATCAAGGCATCAACTACAAAAATATGATCCCAACTGATCATCCAACGACCGTTAGATCTGTCGGATTCGACCAATACAATATGATGAGGGACTCAGTCGGTAGACTACGTCTGTAGTCCCTGACTGTCTTTGTCTTCTCACGAGGGACGCCCGATTGAAAATCGTCGATCGACCAGCTTTTTACTTCGACAGGCCCGATCGCCACTAAATCGGTCATCTCAGCCTTCAGGCTGAACTCAAGTGTGTCGACCGGTCGGTTACCGTCATATTTGGATTCAAATTATAACACAAATTTGGCAGTAAATTATCACGATTAAATTGTACTAAAGACATTTTCCCTAAACGTTCCTTTCTTTCTATAATTGTACAAATATGCCCCTGTAAATAAAGGGCAAAGATGCAAATAACAAAATCTCTCTCTGATTCTCGGCAGGGACTTTCTTGATTGCTCTTTCTTGTCCTCCTTTTCTTAGCTCTAACTCTCGAGGAGTGTGACCCGACTCGCAATTACGTAGATATTTAGTTTCCAAAAGATGGCGAAAAACTTGACCAATATATTTTAGCGGCTAGTGTGTATAATAAATATGTTATATAATTCAGTGTTTAATTAATGATTTACACACTATGGGTACTACGCAAGTATATGTATTGTTTCAAGTAATATAGGATTTTTTTTAAAACCTCATTAACGATTCCATAAGGAAGGTGAATGGACCAAGAAACTATTGTTTATAAACTTAGTAAACTTTACTTAAACTCCAGACACTAATTTAGGAAATATGATAGCAAGTTCATGTGTAAAGCAAAGTTGCTAAATTACTACAAATTCTATTTCAAAGCTAAAGGTAAATGCAGAGATTCTTAGCTAGTTTAATAAAGAAAATTTGAAATTATCTAAAAGTTCTTTCCCCTTGCAAAGAGATAATAATTAGTGTAGGAATCAAATGTTTAAAAGTTAAAATGTAGTTTTGTGTCAAATACGACCATACCTATTCCTTACATTCTCCCGATTGCATAAAGAACATTGACTAACCTAAAGTAAGTTCCTAATTGATATGGTTATGCTGGGTAGGCTACATCCTGTCATTTCCAAATTACCCACTATGTCCTCTCTATAGGACTAACCAGGCCTCAGGTTTCAACTTTAGATCAAATTGGTAAAGCTCTAGCCTGTCACCCTATAATCACCAATTCTACACCCATCAAAACTTATCGTCCTTTCTAATTGAACCAAACCATGGATTATCTTATCACTCACGGAATTAATGTGATTCTTACTAGTCGAGGAATACATAGCCCTCTCGGGTCCTTATGGACTCATGACGAATTTTAACATTCAAATTGGCCAAATTCAAGATGTAAATGAAGAGCGAAGTAATGAATCATCACAAGTATGAAATAATAGAAATCTTAAACAATTCTAATCCTACACATGAATACTTCTTATTTCAAGGAGAAAGAGAAGGAAAATCACTCAGAATTTATGGGGATGACACAATAAAACATGATTTATATTAAACTCCAAGTTTACAAATATAACAAAAGTTAAACAAAAATACAAGGTACTTATCTTAAACTTCTCTCCAAGAAAATCCTTTGGAGTTCCTTTGTTGTCTTCTTCCTTAAATAAAAAACACACAGAATACATTTCATTAGAACACAATATTTTTAAAAATGAGCATAAAATATACATATAAAAGTAGGCAAATTTAAGGCGTGTCAATTCTACAAACTTAAACGTTACTTGTCCTCAAGTAACTCATTTATTTTGTAACATAAAATATTTTAACTTTTATTAGTTGCTTTCATTAAAGATTACTATATTCCTTCCCCATAAATATAATAGTGATACTTTAGAAAAATTTATTAATAACTCAAGATAAAACTAAGGTCATCTTACCCATCAGCAGATGGGTAATCGTCGCGTCAGTGGTATAATGAGAGACCAAGAAAGTATGGCTGGTCAACATCTCTCTAGCAACATCTATGGTGTCAGAGAGAGATCTTGGCTTAGGCATCACACACTTTGTTGCCTCGGTCCGGATCCCCAAGCGGCAGAGCAGAAACTGACCATAAACATCTTGTTCCCGTCCTTTATTTTTTTCTCTACTCCTAGTAAGTGAAGTTCTTTGCCCACCGAAAATATGGCGAAGCCCTT